GCGATTTCTATAGCGATTCAATGCTTTCAAAATATATACACATTAAATTACTACAAGCACGAATGAATGGAGACCTTGAACAGTGTTCGTGCCCTCGCATCTCTCCTTCACGCGCTCCACTATTTCCCGCCTGCAGGGACTGTCACACAGGATTGCGCTCGCGCTCCGTTCGTCTCACTGACACATTTTTTGAGCAGCTGATGTGTGATCTCTCCTTAGTACTCGTGGCCAGTAATGCTAAAGTGAAGTCGTTTTTCAATGGCTCTCGGTCATACCGACGACATTACCTGTGCAGTCGAAGGCTGCATTTATTGCATGGACGGAGCAAAAAATGTAAGTGTCTAAAGCATACGCACAGTTCCATTGAATGAGAAATGTGTTTTAACAATGTCGTTCAACCGAATGTACGAAGGAAACCGTTAAAATAACCACAGCTTTAACAACGACCTTGAAATAAGAGCGCAAGGTTTATCTGAATCAGATGCATGAAAGTAGCGTTCGTTGCTATAGCAAACAGACTTCGGGCGCGTTTTCTTTCAGAATCATCATTCGCCGATGTAGAGGAAAAGTTAAACACATTTCATTTTATGAAAAAAGTTTTCGCACTGAAAGAGAAGTGATCTCGTGCTCATAGAACTTAAGACGTGCCAGGCTATATCTGCAGCTAAGCTGTATAAAAAGCAGAATGAACTGATGAAACGTTAAGACAATGAACACAATAAATAAATAACATTTATGAATGATGCAGTGCTAATTGACATATCATTTATTACAGTACAGAAACTATAAAGTATATTTTCTACCTTATTCTGTGCAGAAAATGTAAATAATTGTTTGCAGGATATAAAACAATCATACAATTGCCATTAAGAAAAAATATATAGATTACAAATGATTGATTATTGTCCAGCAGTGTATTTGATTTAAAGTAAGATATAAGAAAATAATTCCTTGTTAAAAAAAATTAATAATAATAATAATACACACGGTACATACATAAAATTATTGTATTTGACAATAACCGTCACTTCTGAAATGATGGTTACGCCCCTGGTGTGACAAAATGTTAGCCTGTACATAATACTTTTAAAGCTCTTTTTTAAAATCTAGGCTTACATAAATTTCTACATATGCCATAGCATCATTAAACTAGCATCTAACAATGGACAAACGTGTTTTTTCTCTCTAATCTATGGTTCTGTAGCCATAAAGGCTGCTGTGTAATTTGCCCCCGATTAAGCATTTAGGGGAAGCATTTAAATAATCCTGTGAATGCACTTAAAGAATGCCGAATCGAATCGTTAATCGAATCGAATTTAATTGTGAATCGAATCGAATTGAATCGTTCTGAATTTGCAAAAATCGTTCTTGAATCGAAAACCTATGAATCGTGAATCGAATCGATTCGCTGTCTACCCAAAGATTCACAGCCCTAGTATGGACATAAACATGTTTCAAAATACCTACTTTTGTGTTTCACAGAAGAAAGTTTAAAATGACATGGGTGAGTAAATAATAAAAGGAATTTCATTTTTGGGTGACCTGTCGCTTAAAAAGCGAGGAATAGGATGAACGTTTAATAGGAAAGTTCTTGACATTTCCCGTGAGATTATGGTAACACTGTGCTAGAGTATCTTTGATTATGTTGTACGATAGTTTATTCCTCCTTTCCTGTTAGTTTGCACAATGGACCCCCTGTGGAGCGGCTTTGTACTGCCTGTATAAAAACAACGAGGTGCCGCTTGGCATGGAATCTTCTTTGTTTCAAGATTCTGGTGCAGTTTTCTGAAAGCTTGGATCTTGGATATCCTGAGCAAGCTGCTTGCTCTCGTCCCCTCTACTCCCACTTGCTGTTTGCCGAGCACCAGCGCTTTTGGCCACGCTGCTCCACATGGTTCTCCCCACATATTGGAAGTGCTGGCTTATTGTGCCCCAGAATGTGGCAGAAATCTGCTCCAGCCCAAAGCAGATGGCCGTGCTCGTGGACCCACTCCGTCACTCCTGTTCCCCACCATATGACATTCACACGTGGGTGAGCCATCTCCACTCTCCCCCTGCCAAGTGTTTAGCTTTGCTTTTTGGATGACTACTCAATCAGCCAAGTGCCCCAAGAGAAAGAGAGACCGCTTTTTCTTGCACCAGATTTTTTTTCCAGCCGAACAAGTGATTTTTTTGTGTCTGTGTTGTGCACATTAAGAGGACTTCCATGTGTTTGTGGTTCATGTAGTTTATGTCTGGTTTGTGTAACTGTCTGCAGTACTGGCGGCAGGTGTACCTGGTAACCGTTCTGGCCATGATGCTGGCAGTGTTCTTCGCCCAGATACACCCTCATTACTTGACCAAGAAGTGGCAGAAGCGTCGCTCTGTTACATTCTGTGCTGTGGCGGGATATGGCCTCATCCCCACCTTTCATTGGATCTGGCTCAGTGGGGGTTTCAGCTCAGACATAGTCCAGGTAAGAGGCATCCTCCCAATTCTTTAATAGATATTCATAAATAATATCAACTACAGAAATAATGAGTATTGCCAGACTTTTTTCCATATATATGGACAAAATATTTACCAGACTTTTACCCATTTTTCAACCTCAATAATCTTAATAATAATAACAGTTGAAGTAGTAGTCAGTGTGTATGTATGTATGTATGCATGCATGCATGCATGCATGTATGTGTATATATATATATATATATATATACACATTGTGTGTTCAGTATATGTAACTTATTGATTTAATTTTTTTTTTTTTTTGGTAGGAATTTGTTCCCAGAGTGCTGATAATGTATGTACTTGCTGTAGCTGCTATCATCTTCTACATGTCCAAAGTTCCAGAGCGTTATTTTCCAGGTACTTGAAATTTTTATATTTCTTACTCTTTCATTTTTATTTCACAATTGGAGCTCAGCATGGCATCCTGACATGAAAGCAGGGTTGCATTTCACTTATGTCGAATTTGATACTGTCCAGAGAGAGGTTTTTTGGACTAAACCAAGGGCCACACCTGCCTTAATTTGAATTGACTCACACTGCTGTGTGCGATGACCAAGTTAATTAATGCTTTAATGCTCTTTTTGTAATCTCTAGGTCAACTGAACTACTTGGGCTCCAGCCATCAGGTGTGGCACATATTGGTAGTGCTCATGTTCTACTGGTGGCATCAGTCTGCACTTTTCATAACCAACTATCGACACGCTCACCCTTGCTCAGACTACCCTCTTCATTCCTAGAGTTACGGGATCGAGGGACACCACTGAGGACTGTTGTATAGCATTTTAATTGATCTGAAAGCTTGAACACATTCTGTGTTTATAAAATATGATTGCAAGGTGTATGGATTTTTTTTTTTTAATTGTCTTATCGATTTTGACACTTTTTATACATTTTGTAAAAGTGCCTAGATGTTTCAGTATAATTATAATTTAAAGGCACTTGAGGTAAGCAGTGTTAGGCTTTTAAAAGCACTTTTAAAAATCAAAGTTAAGCACCATTTCACAGCGTCTGCATGCGGGGGTTTCTACATCTATACAAATGTACTTCTTGGGTAACATGCAGGTTATGTGGGCAAAACGTCTGTTACATGATAATAGTTAAACATTCAGTATTGTATTGTGAGTTCAATACTATTTTGATGTGTACTTTTTGTATTTGCATCTAAAATTCAACGATTCACAAGCTTAATAGTACCACACTTATGATTTATGTTGGGTTTGTGTGAACATGACTTTTGAAATAAATGTACATGATATAAGTCATATAGTCTTATTTAAAACATTGAATAAACCAGAGATTTCATAGGGCTTGTTCAGTGATTGGTGAAATAAGCAAATGTTTTACATAAGTGGAAAATATATTTTGAGTTGCTCCATATTGTAATACACACATCAGTATTATTTATATTGATGTAGAGAGATGACTCATTGTTTGTTTACTCTGTTACAATGGCAATTTAAAAATCCTTCCATACACTGAATGCATTTTACACTACTCTGTATATTGCATTTCATCCATTTGTAATCTAAGATATCAAGTCATACATTTATGACTAATGTGAAAGCTACATATTTCAGTTCATTTTCTGCCTTACAATAGCGAACTGTACAGCTGTACAATTGCATTTTTTTTTAACATAGTACAATGTGTTTTTAGTGCTTAATGGTAGGGTGATGTGCTGTTACTGAATCATGATGCTTGATTATGTGTAACTATTTTTATTTATTTTTACCACATGGTATGGTTGGTAATATGTTGGGATATGCGTTCTTCTGTAAACCGGATTAAATATTCACGTTGTCCTTTTCAACTGCAGTTTTAATGATAGTTTTTAAATAAAAGATCTGACTGACAAAAAAAAAAAACCGGGGACTCATGATCTCCAAAAAAATCGTTTATTGCATTGTTAGAGTGTAGTATTACATAAGAAAAAAACTAATCTTGCAATGTTTGAAAAAAAGCTCTTTTTGGTCTTGAATGTTCCAACTGCAGATACTCAGTGTGTAAATGTATCTTCTAAATGGCCCTTTTATCAGTAAAATTGTGATACTCTTCATGACTAAAATTGAATTAAAAAATTAGCTTCAAACAAGTGACTGGTATATAAATAGGAAAAAATTGCAATGAGCTCATTCTTTAATTATTTTCCCTTTCCACAAGAGCTAATTGTTCATGATTGTAGGTTACAGACGTAGTGGAACACCTAATCATTTGATAACATCAAATATGTTAAGTTCAGGTTGGAGAACTATTTCTATGTGAGTTACAACATTGTCTAATAAACTGCAAGTTTAACTTCTCTTGTGTGGTCAGTTTACTAAAGGGGACGTTAAGACCCTTTTCATTTATATAGACATTGTAACGTTCTTACAAAATGTAAAAATATGCATAAAATCGTCTATGTGAATGACATTAAAACGGAGAAGGCCTACACTCAGATGATTCCATTGACACAAACGGGCTACTACAGCCATTGTGTATTCGAGGTACTGTTAAGCAGGGTGGGGAATACCCAGATAAGGCTTTATGGTGTTTCATGTTGGTAGATAGGAGTTGTACCAACTCAGTGGTCAACAATGGAGTACAAACTTGATCAAAATGCTGTTCGCCATTGGTATTTTTCTCTTAATCCTATTAAAACAAAGGATTATACACACATCTCCACTGTTTTTGTTGTTGTTTTTACTGAGCAGAGCGCTTATTGAAATGCAGCATAGAAGGCTTTCTAGCGTGTAAAGAATATGCTTCAAAAGCCTATTTGAAAGCATCCACCAACCACAGGTTTAAGTCACCAAAAGGAAAATAGGTGTTTTAGCTGTCCAGTTAGGTATTAAAATACTTGAAAAACTACAAAAGTTGAATGTTATCTAGTTTAAAGGCCTACGTCCCAATGGGCTGCACATACACAGAGATCACAGCACAAAGCTGCCGTCCGTTAAAGACATTTCAAAAGGCTGCTTGGACTTTGCATAATGTAGCAGTGTATGTGTGTGTGTGTGTGTGCTGGAAGACAAGGCATTCACTGCTTTGAGGGGAAAGGTGCGGCTCCGAAAGGGTCGAGATCTATTGGTGGGGTTTGCGGAGCTCCGCTTTGGACCACCAGTTCTGTGAAAGGTACTGCTCCAAAGTCATCAATCTTATTCCCGTCAAACACGCCATGTAGGGAGCTGGTTCTCGGCCTGCCGTTGGTCGAATTGATCTCACTTTTGTTGTCTCCTAAGCTCTGGTGCTGACCGTGTCGACTGCCATCTTGTGGATGAAAAGGCTTGGCTCCAAACGGATCCAACAAAACCTCCTCTGGGGGTAAAGCAGCTCCTTTTTCCATCACCTCGCCAAGGGAAATACTGATGTTCTCTTTGGAGTCGGACGTGCTGAGGAACTCGTTGCTGCTCTGCGAGTCCCGTCTACCCACTTTCTTGTGCCTTCGCACCCGTTCAGGGGTACGGAAACTGGGTTTGTTGCTCTTCTTGCCGCTGGTGGGCGTGCTGTGGTGTCGCTTCCCATTGCCTCCACTGGCCTCCTGCTTGGTGCGCCTTTGCCGCAAGGAGAGTTTCTGAAGACTGCGCTGCTTCTGCCTCTGTTGCTGGGGACTGGCTGCGTCGTCAAAAGGTGCTTGGCCAAATACGTCCTCTTGATTCCTAGAAGTGGTTATTACGTGGCCAGGTTCGAAAGGCGAGAATCCAAATACATCCACGCTGTCAGGAGAAACGGGTGGCGTCTGGCCGCTGGGTCCATCGTCACTCCAGCTGGACCTGGAGATGTTTCTGTTGAAAGGAGCTTTGGTGAATACATCAGTCTCTTCCGCAGCGTTCTCCTGGCTAGCCTGCCTAAAAGGGGCTTTGACGAAAATATCTGAGCTCTCTGGTGACACTCTGGGCTGACCACTGCCAACAAAAGGAACAGCACCAAACACATCCACAATGCTCGTGACAGGCATGGCGACACTTGGTGAATTGGGAGGAGTGTTCAGACTGGCTCCAGATTCAGCTTTCACAGATCTCGGAGGAAAAACCGCAGCTTTGTCATTCGACAGCCCAAGTTTTGCTTTCCTTGAGTCACAATCGGAGTCTGAGCTGTGCTTGTCCTCCTCTTCCTCTATCTCTTCCTCAGAGTCCATGAGTAACGGCCTCTGACCCAGGTTCTCAGGTTCGGTGTCTTCGTGTTCACTGTTGAGACCTTCCTCCTCTTCCGCCTCTTCGTCTTCACTGCTTTTGGGAGAGGGCGGGTCGGACTCAAAATCACTGTCTGATTCCTCGCCTGCTTTCTGAGGCAGTGAACTAGTGGAGCTACTTTTCTTTGCAGATTTGTTTTCTTTGACTGATGGCAGGGTTGTGTCTTGCATGGCTGGAACAGTCACAGCAACACTGGGCATCTCAACAGGATGGTCTGCTGTCAGCACACCAGCTCCTGCTAAATGAACACACAAAGTTGACGATAAATGTCTGATAAACACAGCATGTGACTTAAATATGCTTTCAGTGGAACTAGCGCCTTTCCCAAACTGAATATACTAATTACTATTATTCCACCCTTGTAGCAACAACATCCACAACTGAGAGCATTAAAAAAAAAAGCTAAGAATAGACATACAAAACCTACTAAAGATGGTTTAAGACTAACAGTGAATGAAATGGTGAGTCCAAAACAGACTCCAGAAACTTCAGAACTAACCAAAATATAAACAAATTTTTTTTTTTTATAATACACACAGTATATCAGAATACTTGAAATCTTTACAATTTTACATTATATTAAAAACATGTTGCTACTAGAAATAGCAGTAATACTAAACCAGTTGGCGCATTTAAATTTGACAGCACTAAAATACAAAAACTAAATGTAAATAAAGTGAAACTAGAAGACTTAGGAAAAAGAAGTCAAACTAAACTGACGATGATAGAAAGAAAACTATAATTATAAAGCTATATTATAGTTTTATTTGTGTAATGATGATTCTTAACATTTTTAATTTAAGTAATTTTACAATTACAAATTTTAAAGACGAAGCTAATTTGTACAACTATGTGTATTGACACAGAGATGAAACAACTATTATATTCGATCAAAAACCTGCACTTTTCCTGCAAAATCTCACCTGACTAAGTGCTTGAAAGATACATTTTTAACCTCAGGCATGATTTTGGAAATTGTACGAGACATTTTCAAATCTCATTAAAAAAAAAACTGACTTTTGACTTGTGAGATACACTATTTATTATTTGTTTCTCCTGTAATTAAACTAGTGTATCTTGCTACAGCGCATCACAATATTTGTCAACATGAATAATTATTGAGATATTTGTCTAATTTCAAAAGACTGAAATTCTCAACATGGCTAGGCATTGCCATCCTCCCCCTGCTGAGCAGGCAGAGCTGCGGATCTGTTATCAACAGATCCATCCAAACTGGCAGAGCGAGACACAAGATTAGCCAAACCTGGTTCTATGAATATGAAGAAGTTCAAAAATATATAAATAAAACCAAGTTAAATAACTAATTAAATAACAACAACTACTTCTACTACAATGATTGGTCACCGTGATTTTGCCAAGTAAGACATGTCCCTGGATCAACATAACAGTCCAAACATACAGACTTAACCCAATCCCCCCTAAACCTAACCTTACCCATAATTTATTCCTAAAATCAGAGGGAAATGACAGCTGATTAACATGGGTGTAGAAGCACCTAACCCTGATTGTAAACCTAAAACTGGCATTTCCTGAAAAGTTATCTATCAATTCTGATTGGAATGATGTTCCAGGATCAACAAGGATGTGGATCCAGGAACATGTTGTACTTGGTCAAATCACTCAACAGGACAGTCAAGAACAGCGTGAATTGGGAGGAGTGTTCAGACTGGCTCCAGATTCAGCTTTCACAGATCTCGGAGGAAAAACCGCAGCTTTGTCATTCGACAGCCCAAGTTTTGCTTTCCTTGAGTCACAATCGGAGTCTGAGCTGTGCTTGTCCTCCTCTTCCTCTATCTCTTCCTCAGAGTCCATGAGTAACGGCCTCTGACCCAGGTTCTCAGGTTCGGTGTCTTCGTGTTCACTGTTGAGACCTTCCTCCTCTTCCGCCTCTTCGTCTTCACTGCTTTTGGGAGAGGGCGGGTCGGACTCAAAATCACTGTCTGATTCCTCGCCTGCTTTCTGAGGCAGTGAACTAGTGGAGCTACTTTTCTTTGCAGATTTGTTTTCTTTGACTGATGGCAGGGTTGTGTCTTGCATGGCTGGAACAGTCACAGCAACACTGGGCATCTCAACAGGATGGTCTGCTGTCAGCACACCAGCTCCTGCTAAATGAACACACAAAGTTGACGATAAATGTCTGATAAACACAGCATGTGACTTAAATATGCTTTCAGTGGAACTAGCGCCTTTCCCAAACTGAATATACTAATTACTATTATTCCACCCTTGTAGCAACAACATCCACAACTGAGAGCATTAAAAAAAAAAGCTAAGAATAGACATACAAAACCTACTAAAGATGGTTTAAGACTAACAGTGAATGAAATGGTGAGTCCAAAACAGACTCCAGAAACTTCAGAACTAACCAAAATATAAACAAATTATTTTTTTTTATAATACACACAGTATATCAGAATACTTGAAATCTTTACAATTTTACATTATATTAAAAACATGTTGCTACTAGAAATAGCAGTAATACTAAACCAGTTGGCACATTTAAATTTGACAGCACTAAAATACAAAAACTAAATGTAAATAAAGTGAAACTAGAAGACTTAGGAAAAAGAAGTCAAACTAAACTGACAATGATAGAAAGAAAACTATAATTATAAAGCTATATTATAGTTTTATTTGTGTAATGACGATTCTTAACATTTTTAATTTAAGTAATTTTACAATTACAAATTTTAAAGACGAAGCTAATTTGTACAACTATGTGTATTGACACAGAGATGAAACAACTATTATATTCGATCAAAAACCTGCACTTTTCCTGCAAAATCTCACCTGACTAAGTGCTTGAAAGATACATTTTTAACCTCAGGCATGATTTTGGAAATTGTACGAGACATTTTCAAATCTCATTAAAAAAAAAACTGACTTTTGACTTGTGAGATACACTATTTATTATTTGTTTCTCCTGTAATTAAACTAGTGTATCTTGCTACAGCGCATCACAATATTTGTCAACATGAATAATTATTGAGATATTTGTCTAATTTCAAAAGACTGAAATTCTCAACATGGCTAGGCATTGCCATCCTCCCCCTGCTGAGCAGGCAGAGCTGCGGATCTGTTATCAACAGATCCATCCAAACTGGCAGAGCGAGACACAAGATTAGCCAAACCTGGTTCTATGAATATGAAGAAGTTCAAAAATATATAAATAAAACCAAGTTAAATAACTAATTAAATAACAACAACTACTTCTACTACAATGATTGGTCACCGTGATTTTGCCAAGTAAGACATGTCCCTGGATCAACATAACAGTCCAAACATACAGACTTAACCCAATCCCCCCTAAACCTAACCTTACCCATAATTTATTCCTAAAATCAGAGGGAAATGACAGCTGATTAACATGGGTGTAGAAGCACCTAACCCTGATTGTAAACCTAAAACTGGCATTTCCTGAAAAGTTATCTATCAATTCTGATTGGAATGATGTTCCAGGATCAACAAGGATGTGGATCCAGGAACATGTTGTACTTGGTCAAATCACTCAACAGGACAGTCAAGAACAGCGCTTGGGGGACGGGGGTGACAGTAGAGCAAGAACAGCATGGGAGGAAAAGAAACTGTGGTGCTTTTTGAAAGAAATACGAAGCTTAGTGGAAAAAATATACGAGCAGACTGTTTAGAGAGTCCGGATTACAACACATCTAATCCCGCCTACCTCCTGGAATACAACAATCCACAGCACAGCATAATGGAACATCCTTAATCATATAAGAAGATCGCAACCAGAAGACGACATTATTGAGTGTTCTTTTCCAGGCCCATCCGATTACACGCTGATCACGGCTCTAGTACAAACAGCCATAGCATGTGGATGTCCAGACCTCTTCCTGCTTTGCTTGAATAGGGAACATAATGGAAATGTCATATTGCTCTGAAAGCTACATATCCCTCCAGTGGATTACCCAGACCTCTCTTCCCCAGCTCAGCAGATGCTACGCTGATTGTCTTTTTGTCTTCACAATATATGCAAATGATTTACGGACACGGCCGTGATATGCTTCAATAGTTCATTGTCTCTTACCTCATTACGTCCGAGTGCCTCTGTTCTACATGCAACTTTACCAGGCAAACAGAATATTTGAATTGAGTTCATAAAGAGAGATTATGCTCATTCTGTAGTTTAAGAGCCATTTTATTATGCTTCCCCCTCCAACGACCATATTAAGCATACAGACCAACAGGAAAGCTACAAAACATAATTGGTCCTCATACATAATCTAGATCATATACTAGATTTGAGGATGTTTTCACAGCCACATTTTAATCAAAAGAGTTACTCCAATAGTATCCTATTCAACCATTGTCAGATCTAAAAAATGCGTGCAAAAGATTATGTAGAGTAAAAAGCTTATACTACACTCCGAGAGTATTTTACATATTCTGAACAGATTTTGTTAAATTATATATACACTGTACATTAATTGTAAATTTAATGTCAGCATTAATGTTGAACTAAAACCTCAGACTGACAGTATATAATGTTTACACTCACGTAAAAAAAAAAAAAAGTAGTCTGTGTCAAAAGGTGGCATGTTTAAGACACTTCATTTAAGTGTGTAGCAACATCTTTGTCTTTATATTTTTTTTTTGGTATGAACATGGTGTTAACATTATGCTTTAACCAAATGAAAAATGAACTAGATTAATGTTATACATGTTTAGAATACACAGTTAGACAAAGACAGCCATGCTAATTATATAAAAGGAGGATCATCTTGCTCTTGTGGCATAAAGGTGGAAGACATCAGAACCTCTTATCCTCGAAGCATTAGTCAAAAGCTCCTGATATGAGCTTCTATAACAAAAATCAACAAATATAACACTGCTTTTAAATAAGCTTTATTTATAATTAGCATTGTATAAAGAAACATTCAGTTATACATTGTGATACATGAGTATTTACATCGGTTTGTCAACTGGAGACTGAACATTAACAGCTTATGCATGTATGTACAGATGAGAAGTCACTGAGGAATGGAGGAGCTATGAACCTCTGTCATCTATAGGAACATATGCAACATAAAGACTCCTGTACCATGATCTCTCGAGCAACATAAGGCTTAAAAGGAAAGCTGTTATAGGATAAACTGTCACCTGTGCACTTTTAATATTAGCGTCAACAAAATTTAAAAAGAAAGACTAAAAACAAAAGTGACCTATAACTCCAATTTATATGTAAGTGGGTTTAGTCAGTCACCCTCAACAACTGTTCTACTTACACTTGCACAATAGTTCACAATATGGCTCTAAAGACTTTTAATACAAGTTGTGTTCACAGGTCTGTCAGTTTTAACTGTCCACCAATATCCCACTCAGTCAAGATGTCTCTGAAAATGGCTGTCTTTATCTAATACAGAATGGTTACAAACACATTAAACTTAAAAAAACAAACAATAAATAAAACACACACGTTCTGATAAAGCAAAGGAACTTGAGTGGGTGATGAGATGATTGAGTACATAAAATTAGGAGTCCAGAACACGGATTCACTAAACATTATGGTCAACTTACCGTTGTGAAAAAGTTTGGTAAACATTATGGTAAGCCCTTCAAGTAAACTATTACTAAATGCACTGAGCAAGTACCTCTAAATGCATGTGCTGACAATGAATCTATTAATTAAGGCTCAATGCTGCCATTATGAATGAGACCGCAACAAATGATGTGATGTGTCTGTGGTGTGACAACCAGTATAACATGTAAAAAGGCTCATACATTCTTAGACATAGCGTTTTCTATGGAAAACATCATCTGTGACCAGAAAAGAGTTCTAGCATAGGCTACATAATAATAAAACAAATTATGCAAAAGAAAGGGAAAAAAGGGCTGCCAACTCTTAGTTGCTTCTGTAGATGCAACCGTTTCTGATTATTCGGCTAACCTCACTCCAAGTTAACCTGCCAATGTTCCCTAAATTGGCAACTTAAAGTATCTTCACAGTAAATTACAGAAAGGAAAAACAAGTCTCAATGAGGAATTTAAAGCCAACTCTAACACTAGAGGAGAGAGACTTGTGTTCAACTCCATGAAAAAATTGGCATGTTTACAAGTAAACAAAGTGAATATGAGGATCGCTGCAAATTTTCTATGGTTTGAGGTCCATAGAAATTGTACCTGAGAACTTCTGGCACTCACTGTTTCTATCAACAACTTGCTATCAAGCACAAAATGTATCTCTGAAGCAAAGAAAAAAGGGGAAAAAATCCACTAAGTGGAAAATTTAGGTTGCTCAAGAATAAGAAAATCTATTCTATCATGCCAACCTGATGACTATGACAAAAAAAAAATGTAATGCTAAAATAATAGAAAAAAGAAAGAAATTTCCCTTAAACTTGTGCATTTTGCATAATGGAAAAAAACACTTTTCTGCTCTGCATAATCTAAACCTGTTGAAATAAAAATGTTAGTCCTGAGCAAAAAAAAAATCTAAATGACAAAAAGTCCAGAGTACAGTTCACTTATACATATTGCAGTGTAACTGCACCACCACATAGGAGTTACCTCCAAATATTTGATTAAAACTAAACGTATTAAAATGTTGTTTAAAAATGCAGATGTGAAAAGAGCATAGCACAAATTTACTACTATAATACAGCTAATTGCAAAAACAAATAAAAGTTCAAGCTTGAAAAACAACAAATAATAACAGTAGAGAAAAAGAACAAGGCACCAGCAACAAACATGGAGGTGCTATAAAGCTGTGGTTTTGTGAAGTATAAATCCCAAGAATAAAAAAAAAAAAAAAAAAAAAACTTAAGTCTATATTTCTTATTATCGGTTATAGTTCCAAATGATACATATACTTTTTTAAAATCTGCAAATCCTCTCTATTTCTATGCTTGCATTTGACTATTTACTGCCTGTTGGGGAGGGGCTATCTATCTATCATATATATATAATATCTAAACCTATGCATGTACCAGATATATAGAGTTTTATTAAAATTTTCTCTCATCTACACCTTATGAACAGTGAGAAATAAAAACAAAAAAGGTTTTCTAAGACATACAGGGTTTGTTTAAATAATGACAAGATTGTAACTGTCTAAATGTATGCATTTAAAGTGGTTTAAGGAATAAATGGAAACATTGATTTTGTTTGTCTCCCGACTCCAGATGTGACAGTGATATGTGGTGTAGAGCGGCCACATCCAGCGAGCAGAGAGACAGAAAGGGGTCGGGAAGAGCAGGAATAGGGGAGCACAGATATGAGGAGAGAGGTGGAGGAGGAGGAGGACGGTAAACAGGGAACTTTGGTGAGGATCCTTTGAGAGCCGGCTGCTAGAACTTGCCTGCGTTGGCCAGGAAGGGCACAGAGCCAAATGGATCCTCAGGGAGAGAGGGCTGCAGTAACGGCTGCTGTCTGTCTATGCTGCTGGCCTCCATGCTGACAGATCGCTCTACCGGCTTTTCTGTGGGCAAGAAGTGTGGCGGACATGTAGAAAATGTTAGTGTAAGAATAAAGCAGAATGTGTATGCCCTCTGCTGGAGAGGGTGTAGAATAGAATATTACAAGAGGATGGACATCTGGATGCAATTCTAAAATGGACTCAAAGGAACACAGAGACACTTGCTTGCTCTTAGAAGGTCGAACTCTCGATCGAGAAGTTCCTCTTCTGTGAGTTTGGAGAAATTGTCTTCTCCAAATGGGTTCCAAGCAGACATATCAGGAGGGCTATTGACAGTCTGGGGAGGAGGGCTCATGACATCCACAGTGGACACTGGGTTTCTACTACAACAGAAAAAGAAAAAATGTCAGACATTTAAAGAGATATACATTAATATATCAGATAACAGATCTTTATACACAGAACTTTTCACTTTTGTTGACTTGCACTGTATAACAAAGGTTCTTTGTGTGTGTAACTGCTATTCAAACGGCTCTGTATCGTCCTTATTTTTCAACACTTAAGCTGTTTACTATGACTGTGCAAGACTTCATTAGCCGCTTTAGGGAAATAACAAGAAGAATACTAAAGTACTGTAAATGGTAAATCAGTGTGTGTTTATAATTAAGATGATAAATTAAAATAATATGGTAAAAAATACCAGTTTGCAGTTTCCAAGCAGCATAACAGCTAAAAATAACTGGAAGCGAATGTCACCGGAAGCCAGACACGTTAAATTTACAAATGGCCACAGCCTTTCTAACGTGAAAAATAAGATGGGTATACACTACCGTTCAAAAGAGGGTCAGTAAGATTATAGAAATCAATGCTTTTATTTAGTTAGAAAACAGTAAATTGATCAAAAGTGACAGTAACACATTTATAAACGTTACAAAAGATTTATATTTTAAATAAATGCTGTTCATTTTCAGAATCGTGAAAATGCATCATAGTTTCCACAAAAATATTAAACAACCATTTTCAACATTGATAATCCAAATCAGTATATTAGAATAAGTTGTGAAGGATCATGTGACACTGAAGGCTGGAGTAATGGCTGCTGGAAATTCAGCTTTGCCATCACAGGAATAAATTACATTTTAAAAGTATATAAAAATACTAGAGAGTTATTTTTATTAAGTGTAATAATATTTCAGAATACTAAAGTTTTTCTGTTTTTGATCAAATAAATGTATCCTGGGTAAGCATAACTAATAAAAAAAAAACATTAAAAAAATGGAGAAAAAAAACCTTACCAACCCCAAATTTTTGAATGCTAGTGTACAGTAAGTAATTTTCACTCAGTGTGACAGACTGACTATGGAGAAGTACATTGTTAATAATGTCCAAAGTGCTTGCCTGATGTTAGCGAAGGGGGTCTCTACGGGAGAAGGTCCTGCAGGGTTATAGGAGCCCAGTGGGGTCTGGAACTCCAGAGGAGAGATATAGGGCACCTGTTGGACTGGAGCACATTGCTGCTGCTGCTGCTGAACAAAGGCCTGCTGCATCTGTAAGGACACAAGTAAATAAACTCAATTTAGTAAACTGCTGCAGGTTTAAACTATGGCTGCTGGGGTGTGCTAATGCTTATCAATATTCAGATCTTCAGTTTGACAACATAATGGTGCTACTGTCATGTCTCTTGTACAGTATCACACAGCAGCGTCCATTGTGTTGCTGAATGTTTGATGTTATATGATGCAATGGATTTACAAAAAACTGCAAGGTCAAACTCAAAACGATAGTTCACTTCCATTTCCATTATTATTTATTTATTTGCAAGCAGATGTGTAATAAGCAAGATATAAAATGCAGTACTACATATTGGACCTAAATATATAGCAGATATGCTCACTGAATATAAACCTAACAGACCACTCAGATCATTAGGATCGAGTCAGTTAGAAATACCAAGGGTTCACACAAAACAAGGGGAATGTGCTTTTAGTTATTATGCCACCCGCAGTTGGAATCAGCTTCCAGAAGAGATCAGATGTGCTAAAACATTAGTCACATTTAAATGCAGACTCAAAACTCATCTGTTTAGCTGTGCATTTATTGAATGAGCACTGTGCGATGTCCGAACTGATTGCACTATATTATATGTATAATCGTTTTCTTAAATTCATTTTAAACCTCTTAAATCAATTTTTTTTAAATAATTTTCAAAGTTTTTAAATTCCTTGTTTTATTGTTGTGATTATTGTTTTTATTTTATTTTATGTAAAGCACTTTGAATTACCATTGTGTATGAAATGTGCTATACAAATAAACTTGCCTTGCCTTACATACATATTGTAATGCCCTTCAGGGTAACAAAAGACCTGGTCATCCTGGGTATTTTGTGATCATGAATAAATAGAAGCCTTCCCCTTCCTTAAAGGGGTGGTTCATTGTGATTTCACTTTTTTAACGTTAGTTAGTGTGTAATGTTGCTGTTTGAGCATAAACAATATCTGCAAAGTTACGAAGCTGAAAGTTCAATGCAAACGGAGATATCGTCTTTCAAAATTCTGGCAGTTTAATGCCTACAAAAATGGCTGGTAGGGACTACAAGTTACTTCCCGGGTTTGTGACGTAACAAACCCAGATAAACCCCACCCCCGGGAAAAGGCAGCAAAGGGGGCGAGGCCATGCTGTGCTGCTTTAGAGAAGAGGAAGAGAAAACTAGATGTGCACGTAAAAATCTATTCATATATGAATCACGATTCTAATGGATTCACAAGTTTCAAAATCAATGTTCTAAAGCAGAGGTTCTTAATAC